ATGAATACAAATTGTGACCAGTACTTTTGGGTAAGTTTTATTAACACTATAAACTGTAAAAAAAATTTTTAATATATGTATACATGTACATGACTGCGCTACAGTCATTTGATGAGTGTTTTTCCTGTGCTTTTGCAGTCATTGCAAAAACAATATGAACGTTCAAATCGATTTCATAAAAATTGAGCGTATGTAAAACCTGTCTAAGTTAAGGATTGAACCTACGCATAAGTTTATAAAAACTCTTGTTTTGATAAAAAGTAGCTCCTTTTTCAGTGAGGGCTTACGTTTCTTTAAAAATTGTCTGTTTTACAAACGAAATTTTTATAACGCTGATTTTCGTATTTTTTCAATAGGTTCAGTGCAAACTGGGGGCATGTAAAGTGCCAAATTATCCAGGATACTTCATAATTCAATTCTTTACAACCAGAAACACTACAAAACCACAACGGCTTTAAAAAAAAACCGTTTACAGATCAGACGACTATAGCGCCGTTATTTATATGTATGCATACATATACATATATACGGGTGTTCGATACCTAGTGGGAAAAAATTTAAGGGGTGATTCTTGGAGACAAAATAAGACGGAAATCAAGAGTAACAAAATTGTGACAAATGCTTCGTTAGTTAATTATAAGCGTTTAAAAATTCACCCAAATAATTGCAATCTGTACGGCACGGACTGTCAGCGTGCCAGGGTTAAAAACTTAACGACGTGCAGGAAAAGTAAGTAGAATAGCTATCTACTTATCGGTAGAAGATGTCGACAACTTGTGACGGCGGTATTTGATTTGAATTCACTTATACAGTAGACATTCGATTCCCGCACGAGTCGGGACTGTAGAGGGCTAAATTTCCAGGAACCGTACAGGAATTGGTGACCAATTACCCGAGCGCTTTCCCCACCACTCGGCCGTTCAGTTGTGCGACGCAGCCGCATATAGGGTGGGCTGGATATACGCACTTTACGGTTATGTTAATTATCTCCGTTATTTTTAGAGATATCAGAAAAGTGTATTCATAGAAGTATTTTAGTATGGAGAGGGCTATTACTTATCAGTGACACTTTCTTCGTAGGTGAAGGATCTTTTGAGTTCTCAAAGTTAATTATGTTCTTTTATTAATGGTATTGAAATACTATGGAATAAAAATACTTTTTTTTTTATATATATAAATCGATTCTTCTAAACATCCTTCGTAATAAAGTATTAAAGTATTATGTGAAAAAGTTAATAATTCGTGACATATTTTAGTGGCAAATGTTTTGCTTGGTTAGCATTTTTTACCAATTACGTGTGATCCGCGAGACAAGAAGCAATGAAATTGCCACCAATATTTATTCCATCAATATTTATTGCACCAATAAAAACATTGCAACAATGTATTAAAACAGTATTATACATATACATTTCGCTGTCTGTGATGAGATATGCGTGTTATACGCGACACCGTATGTGTTCCGGCCTGGGCGTGCTGGGCGACAGAGTAGGGTACGCGCACGCGTGTGAGAAATATGTGTGAGCAAGGGGCGTGGCTTCCGTGCAGATAACGGTAGTGCGGGAATTGAATGCCTACTGCATTAACACTGGTTACTCGATAAAATTCGGTTGAATAAGAAGGGTTAATACCCCCTTTCGTGATCACTTACAGTGATTGTCCTGTCCACGAGTATCCATGAAGTTATCCACATATGAACGTAAACCACAGAAGTCCGCAAAAAATGTTCACACACTGCGCGACTAATTAGACTCACGCTCGGTTCCTCCCATGCTTTTACCATTGTACACGTTACACAAAATAACACCTACAATAATTAATTTATAACTACTATTTATACTTATTTTGAACCTACAATAATTAATTTATAACTATTATTTATACTTATTTTGAAGCTACAATAATTAATTTACATTGTTTATAATAACTACGTATCCTAACTACTAAATAATGACCACGTAATCACTAAATAAACTACAACTTAGTTTTCCAAGCATCTGCTATCTGCTCGAGGAATGCAAGGAGCTCCGTTTGGAACGGACAACTGAAAATGTTGAACTGATCCTCCCTCGTTAGAATCCATGTGGTAGGTCGATCCTCACTCTTCCATGGTCAATATTTTTTTGGAAGCAAACGCTGCATAGGGAAAGTGTTTTGGAGGTCGCGTTTCTCTCCGCATTATTCTTACAGCAACATCTGTATTTTGTTTGTACACAACTCGGGGCCACTCGGCCGAGGGTGTGCGAGTCTGGATATTATAAAACTCTTGTCTTCTGCAGTGCGACCATCGAAGAAGACCTTGCCTATTATGTTTCCGACTGTGCTTCTTGAAATTAACTTGTAAAAAGAACCTTTAACGTCGAATGTTAACTCCATGCTAGGAACGGTTCATGTTAAACAGAATGTATGTTTCACAATTTTCTTTATTCTATTTTGTGTAGTTTCTTCATGCATGGTAATACAGGTACAACAAATTTCATCTTAATTTTATTCTAATATACGTTTTATATGATCCATGTTTATTGCATATTATTTTGCGGGTACAAGAGCTTCAAACAGGTGGAGTGAGATCAAAGTTGTAACAAAATGCACATTGCATTTAGCTATTCTATTTACTTTTCCTGCACGTCGTTCAGTCTTTAAAGTGATTGTACGCCCCTTACGAGTTCTGGCCCGCTGACAGTCCGTGCTGTCCGGATTGCCATAATTTGTGTCAATTTTTAAACACTTATAACTAACAAACGAAGCATTTGTCGCAATTTCGTTACTCTTGATTTCCGTTTTATTTTGCCTCCAAGAATCACCTCTTAATTTTTTTCCCACTAGGGGTCGAACATCCATATATTATCGAAATTAATTTGTTTACTGTTTATAGTATTAATAAACGTTGCCCAAATGTGCTAATCATAATTTGTATTCATTTCCTCATAATTAATTCTCTAAAGGAAACTTACATCGTTACCAAATTTGACTGCTTAGTTCCGTTAATGAAATAATGCCAAGAAGTGATAAAACAAAATAGAAATAATACTCGTTTCTAAACGCATTAAACACGCACACTAAACACATGGATGAGGATAAGGAACTTAAGTGTCACCATTTTAGCTTTGGACGGCAGATTTTCTGGCTGGTAGTTGCTTATAATTTTTATGAACAGATTGCTACATTCTTTCGACTTATTTTTGCATGTACAATTACAACCCAATCGGTTGTACCACGATTTTGTGGATACCCTGTACAGAGCAGATGTTTTGAACTATTTTTATTGTATCATGATAGTATAAGAAGCATTACCTATTCAGTTTCAATTTTATTTAGACAATATTTACTTATAACTTTAATTGATTTTTACAGTGAACGTAATGCTTTATTAACCAAAAAGTGTATATCTATGCGTCCTTGCAGAGGCTAGAGTATACATTTCTTGTACTTTGGTGCAACAATAACATAAATACATGATAAAAGAATATATATATATATATATA